CTCCGATGACTTCTGTGTGTTCTCCACCTATCCAAGTCCATAGCAGCCTCCTTCCCCAGCCTTCATCATCTGTCCCCTCCGTCTCATTGTAGGATCTCACGGAATCTGTCTGCGCTGAAATCACCCCCTCCAGACACCTTTCCAATAACCCCGTGTCTCCTCCCGCCATTCTCAATACAGCTATAAAGCTCTTCCAGCGACTGTAGCATAGTAACCCCCAAATGTCTCAATGACTCCAAGCAGCAGCCCTCTCAGGACCCACCCATGATGGAATAACCAGAGTGGCATCTCTCCCAGCTAGGTCCTCTGAGGCTTCAAGCCCACTGTTCCTTGAATCTCCAAACTCCACACCCCAGCAGTCTGCATCCTGCGGTTTCACCCAGACTACGGCCTCCTTCCGCTCCGGCCTCCTCCTGGATTATTTGGATGCTAGGTGACCCGATCCTATAGGCCTCCCACATGTCGTTATCATAATCATCATTAGTCCATTCTGTGGCATATAACCCATGATGAAGACCTCTCATCCCTTGTCCTTATGTCCATCTCCCTGGGATCCTCTTATTCAAGTTTAACTCTAAAAACACAGGTGTCTACCCTGCCACTGGGTCTGGTTGGTCTGCTCTCTTTTCCCAAATCCCGGCAAAATACTGAAGTGGAGATCTTTGTGCCCTTCGGTCAGAGCACAGGCAATTTAGCAGGGATTGGCAAATTCACAAGCTCGGGGCAAGGCAAGAAGATACCAAGGAAGGTATATATTAGAAGGTGGAAGGCCCCAGGGTGACCAGACTCAACCCTTTTGCAGTTAGACTGGACTATGGATGAATCACCAGTTTCACTTCCTCAGTGAGGTGTGCCTGCAGCCATTCCAGAAATACTTCTCTGTAGTTCGGTCTCCAGAGGCATCGGTCAGTCCCTCCATGTCTGACAGGGTGCAGGGTGACCTGCTTTCCTCTGCGTCGAGTGGAAGAAGCAGCAGCCCTCAGCCAGCCCAGAGAGGTGACAGCTTCTCTTCTCACCCAGCCAGCTGCAACAGCACCTGATGTCAGGTGCTGCCAGGGCTCTGGCTTCCCGTGAGGTAGACTCCGGGCTGACTTTCTCACCAAAGAAAGAGGGGGCCTGCCCCGCCTCTGCTCATGACCCACTCAAAGGCAGCCAGCCAGAGTTTGCCAGGGAGCTGCCGCCGGTGACATCTTGATCATCCTAAGCATTTGCTAAGTGCCATCAGCACGTTGACTTAGGTGGTAAAGAGATGTGGGACTGATGCGGGAGGAGAAGGCAGATGGCGGGAGGTGTGAGGACCAGGCACCCGACTAGGCTCTGGGTTCCCCTGCCCTTGCCACACTGCCCTCTGATCCAGCCACTCATCCATGGACACCTACAGCCACTTCCCCGCCTCTACACTCCGCCGGAACCAGCCCGCACAGTCTTCTAAGCCATTATTTTCTACCGTGGCCTAGGGGACCCAATCCAGATGGCTTTGTCTAGCCAGGGCTTCCCGTGACTGGGCCTCCTATCCATCGGCTTCATTTTCCATTGCTTCCCGAGGGGAAAAGGTCTCCTGTGCCCAGCCTGGCTTGTCTTCACTGCCATCCCTCTGAGCACTGAAGCAGCCGGGCATGGTTATTTCGCAAAAGGCAACCTTAGAATTTCTTCACCTTGGGGGTTTCACCCGTAATTTTTCACTGAGAACCACTATTCGTCCAGTTAGAAAAAGGTGGACTTTCTCAGAAACCTTACCTGCTTCCCAGCCTACCCCCTGGTTCCTTCCTTATAGCCATCTTGAGCAACAGGGAAGCTTCCTGAATTCTGCAGATGAGAACCCAAGGCTTAGAAGAGACTGGTTCCTCCTACGCCGGAAGACTCCTGGGCCAGAGAGCTCCAGTCTCTTTTTGTTCCACGGGTCAAGGTCGTCCATTCTACCTCACTGAAGTGAAAACCACATGCACTTGGGAACATGGACCATCCTCGCCTCTGTGTCTGGCAAACGATGAGCACATTAGTGTCTTTGTCTGTGCAGGATGCTGAAACTGGAGCCCATAAACCTGTGGCCTGTAAACAACAGGAATCTATTGCTCACAGGAAGCTGGGAAGTTCAAGGTCAGGAAGCCCACAGATTTGTGTCTAGTGAAGGCCCATCATCTATAGAAATCCATCCTCTTGCTTTGTTAACATAACAGAAGACTGTGGGAGCTCTCGGGAGTCTTTTCTGAGAGCATTGATCCTGTACACGAAGGCTCCCCACTGTGGTCTAATCACCACCCTAAAGGCCTGCCTCCAGGTGCCACCGCATTTGGCGTCAGGCTCAACACATGAATTTGTTGCAGGTGGGCTATAACTATTCTCTTAAAAAAAAAAAAAAAGCACTAGGTAGGTAGTTAAGCTTTTGTTTTTGTTTTCATTTACAGAGTTGTTCGTGTGTGTGTGTGTGTGTGTGTGTGTGTGTGTGTGTGTGTGTGTGTTGCCTGTTATTGAACTCATGTCTTCACACCAGTGGGTAGACAAGTACTCTGAACAATGGCCTCGCCCACCCCCTCAAATTCAGTGTAAGGATGAAATGGCCAGGTGGAGGAGAGTGCTCAGTTGGGAGAGGGCTCGCTTAGCTTGCCCGAAGCCTCAAATCCCATCTCCAGCACCAAAGAAACTGTCCTTAGTGGTATGGGCCGGCAATCCTAGCACTTGGGAGGTGGGGGCAGGTGGGGTAGAAGTTCAAGGTCATCCTGGGCTAGTAGTTCAAGACCACCCAGGGTTACAGAAGGCCCTGTCTCAAAAAGATAAACTTACTATCCTCTCCCTCCATTTGAGATTTTTAAAAACTGTATAGGAGCGTTTTTTTTGCCTGCGTGTATGTCTGTGCACCGCGTGTGCTGTGTTTGAGGGGGTCAGAAAAGGGTGTCAGATCCCCTGGAACTGGAGTTACAGAGAACTGCTAGCCACCACGTGGGTGCTGGGAATTGAATACAAGTCCTCTGGAGGAGCAGCCAGCTCTCTTAACTGCTGAGTTATCTCTCCAGACCAATGGTGTCCCTTTGACCGACAGCACAAAGCTATCCTAGAAAGTGTTTGATAAGGTTGAGAGAACAAAGACCCAGGTATGTGAGACTGCAGATCCCAGCTGGAGTGTTCTCCTCAGCTTTCCTCATGGGGGTGGCATGCCCACTAGGATGTAGCCCACCATGTTACTCCTTTTTCTATAAAAGATGTGTGGTTACTGTCATCAGTAGACAAACAGAATCATGACAACATTTTGCAATGTAATTTCATGATTTATATATCAATTATGTTTTATGATGTTCTTTTGACAGTTACTAAAAGAGTTTATAGCTGGAATGTTGCTATATTGGGATGGGAGGTGGGAATATCCTTCCCCACCCTGGCATTCCTCTTAACTCTTATCCACGGTGAGGCTGTGCAGACAGGAGGGGCCGGTTAACCTGTTTATTCCCTGCCACTACTCCCTGTGAATGTCTAATCACCTCCTGCCATTCCAGAGCCTGTGAATGTCTAATCACCTCCTGCCCTTGCAGAGCCCCGAAGCTTGAATAAAGGCTCTTTGCTTTTACATATGGGATTCGGTCTCCGTGGTGGTCTTTTGGGGTCTCCACCATCTGGGCATAACAAAATTACCAAAGGGGAAAAATACAAAAAGCAGGACTAAGGCCTAGTTCTTATGCAGACCTTGGAAGCCATGGCCACTGTCAGTAACCCCCACCCCCACCCCAGGGGCTCCTTCCTTGTAATGAGGCCACATTCACAGTCTGCAAAGCAGAACCCGGCTGAGCCCTCGTTTGTTTACAGCTTAATTCTAATCTGATCAGGTTTGGATGTAAAGCTCATCTCAGTTTAGCAGTGACAGAGTACCCTGTGCTTTAGGATGGAGCTTTCTACCTCCAGATCCCGACAAGCTCTTTTTGGTTTTGATGCTAGGGTCTCATGTTTGCTGGGCAAGTGCTGGACCACTGATACATCTCCAAACCTACAACAGGCAGCCTTGTAAAAAATGAAATAAAGAAAATACCAGACTGCATCCAACATTGTAAGTATTCTTCCTTAAAAACTGTGTTACAGGTGTGTGTGGAGGGGTGTGGGGGTGTCTGTCTGTCTGTCTGTTTGTGCAAACTGTTGATAATATAAAATGTATTTCTTAGTGAGGGTGGAGGCTAAAAAGGTTTTTAAAACATTGGTTTAAAAGAAAATATCCATGCCTCAACTATTACACAAATATTATCAGAGCTGTGTCTTGTGCTAGGAGAAAGAGAAAAACAAAATTTGGCTACTGCACCTGGAAAGCTCTGGATGGTGGGAGGGGGGCGGAGACGACAAACACACCAACCAGGACAGGATGTAAAAACCACACTGTCGGAGGGGTGTCATAGGAGAAACCACCACCTTTGGGCCCTGGTGGCTGGTTCTGACATCAGCTGGGGGACGAAGGAAAAAAGGATGTTCCTGATGAAGCATGGCTACAGAGCTACAGCCCAGGCCCCATGGCTGGAGCTGCTACCAAGACCTTGCATTGGATGCCCGGGGAAGGACAAGGGTGTTGGGAACAGTCAGGAATGAAAAGGACCAAAGGGAGCAGGTGTTGGCCTTACCTTCTTGGAGCTGTGGGTACCTGTGTTGTTTGTTTCATAGGGAAGGGCCTGGAACAATGGAGGGCAGCATCGGGAAGGCCAGATGTCACCTTTGTTCCCACCCCAGGGCTTTTTCAGACTTCAATAATGATTAGGGTTAAGACGCAGGGCATGATGAGCCCATGGTCAGATAGGAACCGTCTGTATTTAGATTTTCTTCTTACGCCTGGCCGTCTAGCTGGACCCAATGCTGACCTCTGGCTGCCAGGCCCAGCTCAGGCCCTTACCACCCGGAGCATTCTTGCTTTCTCTTCTCATTTTCTGTTTCCCTGTGGAGCCCCAGCACAGCTGGGGGGAGAGGAAGCCGAAGTCTTTCCTGCCCGCGCTTCCCCTCACACACCTGGGGTTGCAGACAGGTTGGCTGCAGAAAAACGCAGCAGGCTGGAGAACTTCGATTTCCTGCTCTGCAAACAGGGAGTGGCCTGTCTTCCCACTTCTGCATCTCAGCACGGACACTAGAAAGGAAAGAAAAGAGTGAAATCCACGGTAGGAGCGAGCAGATTCTCTCTCCCCCTACGCAAAAATACCATTACCAAGATGGAGCTACCAAAGGGCTAAGATTTGGAGACAGGAACCCAACATGTGCCTCAGTCTTCCGTGGACTTCTTCCTCCTATGAAACGGGAAAGTCACATGATTGTATATATAAGGGATGTATATGTATACAGTTGTGTTGCATGCAATACCTTCTCCTCACTCCCTGCCCAAGCTCCCGCCTTGCTCTCGGTGAGTTCTGCTGTTTGGGTTTCCCCAATCTCTTTTCCCTGTACCTATCTGAATCCTACCAACAAGGATGATCTCAAATTTCTTATCTTCCAGGAAGCCAACCCACAAAGGGCTCTCAGAATTTATCAAGTTCTTATGGCGCTTAAGTATTTATGGATAATAAAAGGAATCGTTTGTCCCCTCCTGTGGGACCTCATGATGTTTGTCACTGAGCTCATAGATGCCTGGAACCTGGGGGACACCTAGCTCATCCTCTATGCTTGCCCCAGCGCTGAGTATATAATGGGATCTCAGCGCTGAGCTCTGAGCTCTAGCATCATCAATCTGACGGGAAACCTGGGCTCAGTTGTTGGGGACCTTTAGTGGGCTTTTAGCTCACCATGGTCCATCCCTGCCCTTATCAAAGGAGCCAAGGCAGCAATCACTTAAAGAAACCACAGAGATTAAATGAATTCTTTAATTAATTGTTGCATGCAGAGTAAAGTTTGATTACTTTTACTATAAAGTGATAAGATGAAGAGGACATTATTTTTCAATTTGTTTATTTCTGGTTTTTTTAAATTTTGATTTTAGAGTTCTCCATCCCCTTCTGAATTTTATTTCATTTAAGTTTTAATTTTGCAGTGGCTCCTAAGTCAGAACAAAAGGCTTCATCCACTTTATCCTTTTCATCCTGTCTTGGCCACGCCCTGCGGATAGCTAATCTCATTAGTCTCCGCTTTTTTTTTTCTTCTTCTTCTATTTCTGTTCCTTTTTCCTTGAACAAATAGGTACAGGCTCTCACTTCTTCCCCTAAGAGGTATTCTTGAGGTAATTTCTTTCAAAACTAGTTTTTCAGGATTGTCTCACCACCACCACCA